TTCAGCCTAGTTTTTGTTTTAATATATCTTTTTTTATCCTTTTACTTTTAGCCTGTGTGTCTTTTTGAAAAATTATTTTTGAAAATATTACATATAGCTCCCTTTCACTCCCCCCTGCCTTTGACCTTTTTTTACCCTCCCCTGCCCCAGATCCCAGGTCTTTTCCACCCTATTGTCTGTGTCCTTGGGTTATGCATATATGCATACAAGTTCTTTGGTTGATCTCTTCCTACCCTTACCTCTGAGATTCCACTGTCTGAACCATGCTTCTATGTCTTTGGACCTATTTTATTTTATTCATTAGGTTCCACATATGAATGAGATCATGTGATCCTTATTTTTTTAAAAAGAAATTTCAGTCGTTGTACTGTTTTTTTAAAAAAAATATATTTTATTGATTTTTTTATAGAGAGGAAGGGAGAGATATAGAGAGCTAGAAACGTCGATGAGAGAGTAACATTGACCAGCTGCCTCTTGCACACCCCCTACCGGGGATGTGCCCGCAACCAAGGTACATGCCCTTGACCAGAATCGAACCCGGGACCTTTCAGTCCACAGACCGACGCTCTACCACTGAGCCAAACCGGTTTCGGCCCTTATTTTTTTCTTAAAGTAAGTTTTTTGTAGACAGCATAATTGGATTTGGTTTCCTCTGGCCAGTCTCAGGTACCCAGGACCCAGATTTCCCTCCCTCTGGCCAGCCACAGACACCCAGGACCCAGGCAGGCTTACCCCTGGCTGGCTACCGCCACAGGGAACAGTGGGTGGGCGGCTTGTTCCTCGCCCAGACCACAGCTGCAGGTTCTGGCGCCCGGGACCATGGGGCGGACAGCTTGTCCCTCTCCTGGGCCACAGGTGCTGGTGCCCTGGGCCACAGGGTGGACAGCTTGTCCTTATCCCAGGCTGCATGCTCAGGCACAGTCATTGGTGCCCAGGACCGTGGGGCAGGCAGCTTGTCCCTTTCCCGGATCACAGGTGCAGCTGTTGGCTCTTGGGACTGTGGGGCGTGCGTTTGCCCCTCTCCCAGGCCGCAGCCTGGCTGGTCCCCATTCCTCTCTTGTTAACTCATTTGTGCCTGGCTGGTCCCCATCCTTTCTCTGCAGTGTTGAGTGAGCCAGTATGGCTTGAGGGTATGATGACCATTTGCATATTAGCTCTTTATTATATAGGACTAGAGGCGTAGTTCATGAAATTCATGCACCGGAAGGGGGTTCCCTCAGCTCGGCCCGCATTCTTTTCAATCTGGGACCCCTCACGACCTCTAGCTCCTAACTGTTCTCCCCTGATGGACTATTTGCCCTAATTGCTCTCCCCTGCTGGCCTGACCCCCCTAACTACTTTCCCCTTCCTGATCGCCTCTAACCTCCTCTGCCTTGGCCCCACCAACATGGCTTTGTCCAGAATGCCATCCAGAAGATGTTCAGTCTAATTAGTGTATTACCCTTTTATTTGTATAGATGCCACCTTGTTCTAAAAATGCAGGTTGTTCCCAGGTTTTCCTATCGTGGAAGGGGAGTCCGCAGTAGCATCCTGGGTTCTGACCAGGGCTTATGCACTTGTGCTTTATCTCAGTAGATGTGATTCCTAGAAGACTCTTGGATGTCCCTTGAACATTTCAATCGAATTTGGCAAATCATCCTCCAAAAATGTTGAAACACTTTAAACTCCCACCAGTAACATGTGTGTGTGTCTTTCGTCCCACTTTGATACCGATATCATTGATTTCTACCTAGAAGCTTCCCTCCTATCAGCTGGGAGTGCTTCATACTTGAGCCAACCTCATTATTCAGCTGGGGACTTGATTTCCTGAGATAGGATTATAGAGGAGGAAAAATAGTTTTCCTCTACCTTTCTGAGTTCTTAGTGGAGGCCCTTGTAATGAGAGACAGATCATTAAGAGAAAAACAAAAGTTCATTAATATGTGTATCTCGTGTTTATGTGGGAGATCCCAGGGAAAAATGAGTAGCTCCTCAAGGTGGCTTAGAATGCAGATTTAAATACCTTCTTCCTAGGGAAAGGGGACGGGAGATGTAGGCCTCTTAGAAGAGAGTAAATGATTTTTAGGAAAGATGAATGGGGGTGGGGGAAAATAGTTTGTAACAAAGTTTGGTGATATGTCAACCACTCTCCTGTCCTGTGACAGGAGTCTGTCTTCTTTGTTTGATGACACTTCCCCCATCAAGGGGACGACCTGTGACATTTTAAGCTCCTTTTGGGGGGTCCGATTTTAGGCAAATCTGGAGACTTCAGTGAAAACCTCTGAATGCATTTGTTATTTTTCAAGCATCTGCAGCTCAAGAGCATCAATATAACAACACAGCATATGTTGGGAAAGCATGCTCTCTGACCTTCAGAATAAACCCAACAAAAGCTTGTTTCCTCTCTCAGATGAATTGCCACAGTAGCCACAGTAGCGTTATTCCCTGGAGACGGTATTCTGACCAGACCTTCCTAGGAGTGGTCATAACATACCCTGTGCTTGTAGAAAGGTGTGGACCACATCACTAAATAAACCACGGTCAATTTTCTCCCTTGTGGAAAGGGAGATAAAGTTATGATAGTTTATCTCCCTTTTCACAGGTTTCTTGCGGGTTTGTGTCTCCGCTGCCCCCCACCCCCCAAAGCAGGCCCAGCGCCTCAGCCTCGGAACTTGGGGCTGCTGAGTGCCGGCCTCCCTGCGTGTTTTTTTTCTCCAATCCGGCCCCCAGCAGCCCCAGCACCACGGTGGCAGGCCTTGGGGCTGCTGTGTGCCAGGCCTGTGAGTTTGTGTCTCCGATCCTGCCCCAGTGCCGCTGTGGCTTGGGACTGTTGGCTGCAGGCCTCCCTGCGTGTTTGTGTTTCTGGTCTGGCCCCTAGTATCACCAGTGCCACTGTGGCAGGGCTGAGGCTGCTGCGTGATGGCCTCCCTGCGTGTTTGTATTTCTGATCTGGCCCCCAGCAGCCCCAGTGCCATGATGGAAGGCCTTAGAATTGCTGGGTGCTGGGCCTGGGGGTTTGTGTCTTTGATTGGGCCCCCAGTAGCTCCAGCATCACCTGGCTGTTATGGGCATTTCCATATTTGTTGGGTTAATTTGCGTACTCACTCCTGATTGGCTGGTAGCATAACAGAGTAATGGTCAATTTGCATGTTTCTCTTTTATTATAGTGTAGATAAGTGTTTTAGCCATTGTATGAATTATGGTCATATGGAATGTTCAAAGCACTATTGAAAAGAAGATATGTTTAGAAAAAAATGGGTCGATTTTTAGGGCTAAAATACATAAATGACATAAGTGAGAGTCAAAATAAGACATTTTTGTGTACATTTGAGAGAGTGAAATTTTTTTTGAAAGGGTTGTTTTTCATTTGAAAAACTAATGCAATTATTTTTGGCAATAATTATTTTATCAGAAATACATTTGCATTTTATATCACATCTCTGTTTATTAACAATGGGGAGATAATAAAATAAAGGTTAACAACCTTCTCAGTTTGAGTGTCATTAACAGTACTGAAATGACAAAAAATAGGCAGATACATTCAGATGGCCAATAGACATATGAAAAGATGCTCAACATCAGTAATCATCTGAGAGATGCAAATTAAAACATCAATGAGTTATCATCTCATGCCTGTCAGTGGTTATCATCAATAAATCAACAAACAATAAGTTCTTCGGGGTGGGGGGGGGGAATGTGGATAAAAGGGAACCCTCATGCATTGTTGGTGGGAATGCAAACTGGCACAGCCACTATGGAAAACATTATGGAGTTTTCTCCTAAAATTAAAAATAGAACTACCATTTGACCCAGCGATTCTGTTTCTGGGACTATATACTCAGAATCTTGAAACACCAGATAGAAAGAATATATGTACCCTGTGTAAACAGTCCAAGCAGCAGTAGGTACATTTACATAATGGAATACTACCCAGCGGGCGAAAGAAGGAACTCTTTTGTGATAGCATGGGTGGACCTGGAAGTTATCAGGGCTAGGTAAAATAAGCCTGTCAGAGAAAGACAAATACCATATAATCTCACTTATATGTATAATCTAATGAACAAGATAAACTGATGAACAAAATAGTATCAGAGGCATGGAAACTTGCAAAAGACAGCTCTCAGGTCGAGGGCACTGGATGAAAAAAGTTGAAGAGATTACCCAAAGAACATACGCGTAACTCTTAGACACAGATAAGAGTGTGGTGCTGGCCAGTTGGAAGGGGGTCAGGGAAGGAGGACATCTATAATAATGTCAACAATAAAAATTAATTAAGGCAGATAGAAGAGAAAGAGAAATCTATCAACACATGAAAAGATAATTTTTATTTTTTTAACCTGTGCAGTAGTAATCTTAAGGTCTTTAAAAATTATAATAGACAAGATGTTTGTGTATTTTCAGGTCTAGTTGGAATATTTGTACATAGCTCAACTTTATAAACTAATCCAATAAGCATTGAAATCTACCCTACCCATGTGCAGAATGCTGTGGTACGTTCCATGGGAGATATAAAGATAAAACAGATAGTCTCTAATATTAAGAAGTTTACCATGTAATAGGAGAGACAAAACATGTATGCAAGTTACTGTAACATAAGATAGACTGTGAAGTATTAAAAAATACTTTGTTTCTAAATGTTTATATTACAGGCAGCCGAAACCGGTTTGGCTCAGTGGATAGAGCGTTGGTCTGCGGACTGAAAGGTCCCGGGTTCGATTCTGATCAGGGGCATGTACTACGTTGGTTGCGGGCACATCCCCGGTAGGGGGTGTGCAAGAGGCAGCTGGTCGATGTTTCTCTCTCATCCACGTTTCTAGCTCTCTATCTCTCTCCCTTCTTCTCTGTAAAAAATCAATAAAATATATTAAAATATATATATATAAATGTTTATATTACAGGCAAAATAATAAGAAAAATAATCAGATGTATAAAATCAGTTATAGTAAAGTGTAAAGCAATATTGTACACACATGGAAAGCACGAATTAACTGTTTAATATGCTTGGTATCATTTTCAATTAGGCTCTCCAGGGATGGCCGCTGATAGAAAAGAGGACGTGTTGGCATGGTCATGCAGGAGGAGGACTCCACACAGACCCGAAAGAAGGGGTAAGAGTTAATAACAAGTAAATGGAAATTCTTATGGATGACTGTGTTTGGATAGAAAGTATGTCAAAGATTATCATATTCCAGAGTATTTTGATTTTGCTTTTCTTTTTTTTTTTTTTAATTATCTTTTTTTGTTTGTTTTATTATCTTAAGTTTTACATATATCTCCCCCCAACCCATCCCACCCAGGGCAGGCCCCTTCGCCCCAGTGTCTCTGTCCATTTGTTATGCTAATCTGCATGCATACAAGTCCATTGGTTGCTCTCAAACCCGCCACCTCCCCTGCCATTTGTCTCTGGATCTATTTTTGTTCATCAGGTTATATTGATCATTATATCCTACATATGGTGAGATCATGTGATATTTATCTTCCTCCAACTGGCTTATTTCACTTAGCATAATGCTCTCCAGTTCCATCCATGCTGTTGCAAATGGTAAAAGTTCCTTTTTTAAAAAATATATATTTAGTATTGTGGTATTCCATTCTGCAGATGTACCATAGTTTTTTAATCCACTCATTTGCTGATGAGCACTTAGGATGTTTCTAAATCTTAGCTATTGTAAATTGTGCTGCTATGAACATAGGGGTGCATATATCCTTTTAATTGGTGTTTCTGGTTTCTTGGGATATAGTCCTAGAAGTGGGATTATTGGGTCAAATGGCAGTTCCATTTTACTATTAGGTCTAGTAATAATTAATGTCGTTTTCTAATACTTTTAAAAATAGAATTTATTTAAACAATACAACAAAATGTAATCAACAGTATAGTTGCCGTTGTTTTCTCCTACTTGTGCCCAACGCTCAGGAAGCATTTTAATCCCTCTGTTGTAAAATTCTTGTGATTTTGATGCAAAAAATTCGGTCAATGCATTTTTGAGGCATTCTTCATTATTAAATTTTATTCCAAGAAGAAAGTTTTGCAAAGAACGAAACAAATGGTAATCGGAAGGGGCAATATCAGGAGAATATGCAGGTTGAGGGAGAACTTCCCATTCCAACTGGCGCAGTTTTTCAGCAGTGATTCTTGCAGTATGCGGTCGTGCGTTATCGTGGTGAAGAATTACGCCCTTCCGATTAATCAGCGCGGGTTCTTTTTCTCTTAAAGCTTGGGCTAACCTTTCCAATTGGGCACTATACACTGCACTTGTAATGGTTTGGTTAGATGGTAAAAGTTCATAATGAAGAATTCCTTTAAAATTCCACCAAACACACAACATCCCTTTTTTCGCATGCAAGTCAGGTTTTGGCGTGGGCTGCGGAGCCTCATTTTTGTCCAACCATTGAGGCCGCCTTTTCAAATTAACATACAGCACCCATTTTTCATCTCCGGTAACAATTTGTTCTAAAAACGGCAAACGGTTTTGACGAGAGAGGAGCGAACTGCAAATTGTGACTCTTTGATTACGGTTGTTGTCGGTCAACTCATGAGGAACCCATTTTCCAAACTTTTGGACTTTGCCAAGTGCATGCAATTGATTGGAAATTGTTTTTTTGTGAACAATTTAAAGTTGTCGCAAGCTCTTGTTGGGTAATTTGAGGATTTTGCACCAAAAGAGCTTGAAGAGCTTCTTGATCAAAATTGGACACACGGCCTCGACCACTCTTGTCATCTAACGAAAAATTTCCCTCGCGGAATTTCTCAAACCAACGCTGGCATTTTCTGGCGCTAACTGCATCTTGACCAAGAGCACTACAGATGTTTTTTGCAGCCTCACTTGCTTTTCTTCCTAATTGGAACTCGTAAAGCATGCAGTGCCGAATATGCTCTTCATCCGCCATCTTCTTAGCCCTAGTTTTGCAACAAAAACCAAACCAAACACAAACTTTTTCAAGCAAAACTTGTTAATTGCACTTCACACGTTCTGTAGATACCACGTGTTTGAAGGTTATGTCAATACAAGTCAACGCCAAGCAAGATTTTAAACGAATGTTTAAAAACGACATTACTTATTACTAGACCCGATATTTGAGAAAACTCCATACTGTCTTCTACAGTGGCCGCACCAGTCTGCATTCCCACCAGCAGTGAAGGAGGGTTCCTTTTGCTCCACATTCTTGCCAGCACTTGTTTGTTGATGATAGAAAATTCTGACAGGTGTGAGATGGTACCTCATTGTGGTTTTGATTTGCATCTCTCGGATGATTAGTGACTGTGAACATGTTTTCATATGTCTCTCGGCCTTCTGTATGTCTTCTTTCAAAAAGTGTCTACTCTGGTCCTTTGTCCATTTTATGATTGGATCATTTATCTTCCTTTTGTTAACTTGTATGAGTTTTCTTTAAAATTTGGAGATTAAAAATTTATATGAAATAGCATTGGTGGCAGGGGCAAAATAGCCCCCGGCTGAGAACTACAGGAATAAAGGAATCTGAATGGCAAGAAAAAAAAAACAACAAAATAACATTGGCAAGTATGTTCTCCCATGCAGTGGGCTTTCTTGTTTTGTTGATGATTTCTTTTGCTGTGTAGAAGTTTTTTATTTTGATGTAGTCCCATTTGTTTATTTTCTCCTAAGTCTCCATTACCCTAGGAGCTGTGTTGGTAAATATATTGCTATAGCATATGTCTGCTATTTTGCTGCCTACGGAGTCTTGTAGGATTTTTATGGTTTCCCATCTTTTATTTAAGTCCTTTCACCATTTTTAGTTTGTTTTTCTGTATGTTGTAAGTTGGTAGTCTAGTTTCATTTGTTTGCATGTATCTGACCAAATCTCCTAGCACCATTTATTGAAGACACTGTCTTGACTCCATTGTATGTCCTTGCCTTCTTTGTCAAATATTAATTGAGCATAATGGCTTGGGTCGATTTCTGGTTTCTCTGTCCTGTTCCATTGGTCTATATGTCTGTTCTTGTGCCACTATCAGGCAGTTTTGAGAACCGAGGCTTGGTAATATAGCTTGATATTTGGTATTTCCCTCCAACTTCATTCTTCTTTGTCAGGAGTTCTGTGGCTAGTTTTTTTTTTTTTTTTTTTTTTTAATTCCTGATGAATTTTTGGAGAGTTTGTTCTAGATCTTTGAAATATGCTATTGGTATTTGAATAAGTATTGCATTCAAACTGTAGATTGTGATTTTGCTTTTCTTATACAAAACCATAGGATGTGACCATTGTTATATAGAAGATATTTTTGTCAGGCTTAAAACAAACAAACAGAATTCATGATTAGGTTAAAAAAAAAAACTCCACAAAATTATGAATCTATACATTTTAGTGCTTTATTAAAAACTAGACACTTGGGCCGGGACCGGTTTGGCTCAATGGATAGAGCGTCGGCTTGGGGACTGAAAGGTCCCGGGTTCGCTTCCGGTCAAGGGCATGTACCCTGGTTGCGGGCATATCCCCAGTAGGGGGTGTGCAAGAGGCAGCTGATCAATGACTCTCTCTCATCGATGTTTCTGACTCTCTATCTCTCCCTTCCTCTCTGTATAAAATCAATAAAATATATTAAAAAAAACAAACAAATAAACTAGACACTTGGTGCATGAATTCGTGCATGGGTGGGATCTACCTGGCTGCTGGCAGGCACCTGGAACCCAGGCTTCTCTTGCAGCCCCGGCTTCCTCCAGAATGTCATCCAGAAGGTTGGCGGGAAGGATGTCTGGTCTAATTAGAATATTATTCTTTTATTATTATGGATAGTACTAAAGGCCTGGTGCACGGAATTTGTGCACAGGTGGTGTGGGGCGGGGGGGTTCCCTCAGGCCAGCCTGCATCCTCTCCAATCTGGGATCCCTTGAGGGATGTCCAATTGCCCCATTTAGGGCAGATTATTATGTGTTCAGAGATCAGATAGGGTCTAAACGGGCAGTTGGACATCCCTCTCACAATCCAGGACTGCTGGCTTCCAACTGCTTGCCTGCCTTCCTGATTGCCCCTAACCGCTTCTGTTTGCCAGCCAGATCACCCCCTAACCATTCTCCTGCCATCTTGATTGATACCTAACTGCTCCCCTGCCAGCCTGTTTGCCCCTAACTGCCCTCCCCTGCAGGCCTGGTTATCCATTACTGCCAGCCCCCCTGCAGGCCGGGTCACCCCTAACTGTTCTTCCCTGCAGGCCTGGTCTCACCCAACTATTCTCCCCTGTAGGCCTGGGTACTCCTCTCCCCCAACTGCCCTTCCCTGCAGGCTCAGTCATCTCAAACTCCCCTCCCCTGCCGGCCTAATTGCCCACAACTGCCCTCCCTTGCAGGCCTGGTCCCTCCCAACTGCCTTCCCCTGTTGGCCATCATGTGGTGGCCATCTTGTGTCCACATGGGGGCAGGATCTTTGGTCACATGGAGGCAGCCATCTTGTGTGTTAGAGTGATGGTCAATCTGCATATTAGTCTTTTATTAGATAGGATAGAGGTGCATGGGTGGGGGTCAGCTGGTTTTCCCTGAAGGGTGTCCTGGATTAGGGTTGGGGTTCCCTGAGATGTGGGACTGCTTGGACGAGGGGCCTGTGGTGGTTTTCAAGCTGGTCATGCCCCCAGCAACCCAAACAGAGGCCCTGGTATCTGGGGTTTATTTATCTTCTACAATTGAAACTGTGTAGCCTGGAGCAGAGCCAAGCCTCCTGTTTGCTCAGTGGAGGCAGCCATTTCTGTTACTATTTATTTATCTTCTATAATTGAAACTTTATAGCCTTGAGTGGAGGCCTCAACCTACCAGGGTGTGCAGAAAGCTTGGCTTCCTCCATTGTCAGGGAAAACCAAGCCTCTCTCCTGCTCACTGAGTGGCCGCAGCCATCTTGGTTGGGGTTAATTTGCATACTTGCTCTTGATTGGCTGGTGGTTGTGGCTGGTGGGCATGGCTTGTGGGTGTAAGGGTGTAATGGAATGGTGGTTAATTTGCACATCACTCTTATTAGATAGGATTGGTTTAGGTTGTTATACACTGAGTGGCAAGGTTATTATGATCTCTGAACGCATAATCTGGCCACTTAGTATATATCCTATATAATTAAAGGCTAATATGCAAATTGCCCCCTCAACCAAGAGTTCGACCAGCAGACAGGC